TTTACTTAACTTACGTAATCGATACGTNTCGTGTGTGTGTACGTAGTGAGTATATATATATAATATATATATATATATATATATATATATATATATAGTGAACATCCCAATGCTTTTTGGGAAAGAAAGAAATATAGTATCAGTCTCCCATATGAACCTGGATTTGATGAAAAACAAATTCCTATGAAAGCAAGACCAATTCAAATGAATACTACTTTACTTGAAATGTGTAGAAAAGAAATTGCTGACCTCCAAACTAAAAAGTTGATCAGACCAAACTCATCACCATGGAGTTGTGCAGCTTTCTATGCAAATAAAAATGCTGAAAAGGAACGAGGAGTTCCAAGATTAGTTATTAATTATAAGCCCTTAAATAAAGTTTTACAATGGATAAGATATCCAATTCCTAATAAAAAAGATTTATTAGATCGAGTAGCAACTGCTTGTATATTTTTTAAATTCGATATGAAGTCAGGATATTGGCAAATTCAAATCCAAGAAAAAGATAAATATAAAACAGCATTCAACGTTCCCTTTGGACAATATGAATGGAATGTAATGCCATTTGGATTGAAAAATGCTCCATCTGAATTCCAGAAAATAATGAATGATGTATTCAATGCTTATTATCAATTTATGATCGTTTATATTGATGATGTCCTGATCTTTTCTGAATCCATAGATGAACATATAAAACATATTCATACTTTTATTCATGCAGTACAACATGCTGGATTAGTTGTATCTGCTAGAAAACTTACTTTATTCAAAACCACTATTCGATTTTTAGAACATAATATCCATCAAGGCACCATTATTCCTATAGATAGATCAATACAATTTGCTGATAAATTTGCTGATCAAATTTTAGATAAAAAATAACTCCAACGGTTCTTAGGATGTCTTAATTATGTTATTGATTTCTATCAAGATCTTGCCATTGATGCGAGACGTCTACATGATAGATTAAAAAAGAATCCCCCACCATGGACAGACATTCAAACCAAAGCCATACAAATAATTAAAAAGAAAGTCAAAACTCTCCCTTGACTTTCTCTTCCTCATCCTAATGCCTTCAAAATTATTGCAATTGATGCATCAGAGTTGGGTTTAGGAAGAATCCTAAAACAATAAGTGGATGGTCATGAACAACTACTCAGGTATACTTCTAAAGCCTGGAATCCGACTCAACAAAATTATTCCACGGTAAAAAAGAAATTACTTGCTATTGTCCATTGTGTCACGAAATTTCAAAGTGATATTCTAAATCAACATTTTCTCATACGCACTGATTGCAAAGCTGCTAAAGACATTCTGCAAAAAGATGTTCAAAATCTTGTTTCTAAACAAATATTTGCTCGCTGGCAGGCAATTCTTTCTGCCTTTGATTTTACCATTGAACACCTTCACAGTTCTACCAATTCCCTTCCTGAGGGGGGTCACACTGACGCCAACAACGAAGAATTATAATACAAAAATGGTTTGTTCAAGTAACTATCATAGTCGCAAAAGACTATAGGTTTCAAACGTTAGCCTTAATAGACTCAGGTGCTGATTTAAACTGTATCAATGAAGGATTAGTACCAACAAAATATTTTGATAAAACAACACAAATCTTAAATACTGCAGATGGCAGTAGACTCTTTATCAACTATAAACTCTCTAATGCCTCTGTCTGCAATAATCACCAGTGTATCCGAACACCATTTATTATGGTCAAAGGACTCAGCCAAACAGTTATCCTTGGAGTCCCATTCCTAACATTATTATATCCATTATCTATAAACCATACAGGAATAACATCTACATATCAAATGTACCTATACATTTTGAATTTATTCACAAACCAAAACTCAAAGAAATAAATAGTGTTAAAAGCCAATTACAAAATAAAGAAAAATTTCTCTGTACTTTAAAACAAGAAATTAAATATAAACAAGTGGAAGAACAATTACAAAATCATGTGGTACTACAAAAAATCCAACAACTCCAACAACAGATAGAAAGTTCTATTTGTAGTGAACATCCCAATGCTTTCTGGAAACGAAAGAAACATAGTATCAGTCTCCCATATGAACCTGGATTTGATGAAAAACAAATTCCTACGAAAGAATACGACTTTACTTGAAATGTGTAGAAAAAAAATTGCTGACCTCCAAACTAAAAAGTTGATCAGACCAAGCTCATCACCATGGAGTTGTGCAACTATCTATATAAATAAAAATGCTGAAAAGGAACGAGGAGTTCCAAGATTAGTTATTAATTATAAGCCCTTAAATAAAGTTTTACAATGGATAAGATATCCAATTCCTAATAAAAAAGATTTATTAGATCGAGTAGCAAATGCTTGTATATTTTCTAAATTCGATATGAAGTCAGGATATTGGCAAATTCAAATCCAAGAAAAAGATAAATATAAAACAGCATTCAACGTTCCCTTTGGACAATATGAATGGAATGTAATGCCATTTGGATTGAAAAATACTCCATCTGAATTCCAGAAAATAATGAATGATGTATTCAATGCTTATTATCAATTTATGATGGTTTATATTGATGATGCCTTGATCTTTTTTGAATCCATAGATGAACATAAAAAACATATTCATACTTTTATTCATACAGTACAGCATGCTGGATTAGTTGTATCTGCTAGAAAAATTACTTTATTCAAAACCCCTATTCGATTTTTAAGACATAATATCCATCAAGGCACCATTATTCCTATAGATAGATCAATACAATTTGCTAATAAATTTGCTGATCAAATTTTAGATAAAAAAGAACTTCAACGGTTCTTAGGATGTCTTAATTATGTTATTGATTTCTATCAAGATCTTGCCATTAATGCGAGACCTCTACATGATAGATTACAAAAGAATCCCCCACCATGGACAGACATTCATACCAAAGCCGTACAAATAATTAAAAAGAAAGTCAAAACTCTTCCTTGTCTTTCTCTTCCTCATCCTAATGCCTTCAAAATTATTGAATGCGATGCATTAGAGTTGGGTTTAGGAGGAATCCTAAAACAACAAGTGGATGGTCATGAACAACTACTCAGGTATACTTCTAAAGCCTGGAATCCGACTCAACAAAATTATTCCAAGGTAAAAAAGAAATTACTTGCTATTGTCCATTGTGTCACGAAATTTCAAAGTGATATTCTAAATCAACATTTTCTCATATGCACTGATTGCAAAGCTGCTAAAGACATTCTGCAAAAAAGATGTTCAAAATCTTGTTTCTAAACAAATATTTGCTCGCTAGCAGGCAATTTTTTCTGCCTTTGATTTTACCATTGAACACATTCACGGTTCTGCCAATTCCCTTCCTGATTTTTTAACCCGTGAATTTTTGCAGGGGGGCCACACTGACGCCAACGACGAAGAAACACAATTATCACTTGCACAATAGCTATTTGCAGCTAATAAACATAATACTTTGTCTAATCCACCTACTCTTATGGGCACTCGTAGTTTTTCTTTATTTTGTAATTGGCTTTTAACACTATTTATTTCTTTGAGTTTTGGTTTGTGAATAAATTCAAAATGTATAGGTACATTTTGATATGTAGATGTTATTCCTGTATGGTCCATGGATAATGGATATAAAAATGCTAGGAATGGGACTCCAAGGATAATTGCTTGGCTAAGTCCTTTGACCATAATAAATGGTGTTTGGATACACTGGTGATTATTGCAGACAAAGCCATTAGAGAGTTTATAGTTGATAAAGAGTCTACTGTCATCTGCAGTATTTAAGATTTATGTTGTTTTATCAAAATATTTTGTTGGTACCAATCCGTCATTGATACAGTTTAAATCAGCACCTGAGTCTATTAAGGCAGACGTTTGAAACCTATAGTCTTCTGCGACTATGATAGTTACTTGAACAAACCATTTTTGTATTATAATTTTATCCAACAGGTTAACTGAAGAATGTTCAGTTATCAGAAGTGGTTTAGTGTCTGACGTTTCTAGAGTATCTCCGGGTGGATCAGGACTATATGTAGTAACTAGATGATTAAATTCTACTTCATCTGTGTCTGAATTTTGATTGGATATATTTTGTAATTCAAGAATTTTAATTCTATTTTTTAGTTGATGAACTTCTTTCTTTACTTCATTTATCTCTTGTTTTAGGTCTGAGATAGAAGGTTCTTTTTGTTTAGTGAGATGCTGTTCACTAACTCTTTTCATAATAGAGGCAAAATTATATTCATCTGGTGTTCACATTATTTCTCTGGCTTCCCATTTTATAGGGAGAAGAATAGCTATCTGTTACATTTCTCAACGGATCTCTCAAAAAACAAGAGTTCCCTGATCTTAGGAATATACATCCAACGTTCCCTGCTCTTAGGAATATACATTCAACATTCATATGGACGTTGGTTAATGTGAACATTGGATAGGATTCTTCCCAACTACAATTGTAGGTAAAGCTACGCGCGGCCATATGGTCATACGTGCTAACATCTCCCACTTAGTGTAATAATCAGTCACATGCATACTCTCACTTTAGAGTATGACCTTTTAAGAAAATTTCTTGTTATGAGGTTTTTCTCACGCTTTTGCGGATATGCCTCTCATAACAAACGTCTATCATGAGGATTTTCACTCTAATGCAGAATTGTCACTCCTGAAAACTAAACAAACGTCCATCATGAGGATTTTCACACTAATGTGGATTTATCACTCATGAAAAATTGTCAGACTTAAACATTTTTAAGTCCATTAAGCTGTCTATCATGAGGATTTTCACGTAAATACGGATTTCCCAGTCATGAAAACTGAAAACTGTCTGACTTAAACATTTTTAAATCTCATTGAGCTAGTGTACTTAGACAGTAGTTCAACACTTAGACCCTTTGTTAATGGATCAACGATCATATCTAATGAGGAGGGCAAGTAATTAACAGTTACTTCACATTTCTCAACTACATCCGGAATGTAGTGATATTGGTCATCTATATGTCTCCCTTTGGAGATATTTACTCCACTTTAAATTAATTTAATTGCAGCTTGATTTATCACAAAATATTTGGATCGGTCCGTCAATTATTTGCAGCTTCAAGTTATCTATGAAGCGCTTTATCGAGACGGCTAAAATACAAGCAGTGCAACATATAATGAGAGTATTGTGAATTTACTCACACTCTTCAAGACATACACACAGTATTCCAATCTATTTACTTCATATCCCATCATCTTCATAATAGCAATCGAGATGCAAAGAACATGGAGTTTTCTTTATCAAATCCTTTGAAAGCATGCTACATCCTTTGACATGAAAACAACATTTGATGTGCCCAGTTTGGGATATCCCTCTGCCAAGAGTTGCACCTTTTGCTGGCTAGCAATCCTGCATTAGGCTGTTATGGATCAGCTTCACCATTAGGGATACTTCCCAAACATTTACCTTTATTGCAAGGACTATAAGTAGGGCATACGCCATTCACTAGGGCAGAGTATGATACTTCTTCTTTAAACCATTTAACATTGGTCTTGGTCAGCAATCCACACAGGCTCAACCACATCAGCTGTATGATGACATGTAGTCTCAATTCAAGTAAATCCCAGCCCCTAGTAGTGCCTCTTAGATCTTTTGAGAATTGCCCCCTTTGAAAGACCAAAAAAAAAAATTACTAATGGGATTCTCGATATTAGAAGTAGGGACAACATTGCTTTAATAATGTCACTATAGGTGTCAACGTCAGGCCTTCGAGCGAGCCACGATGAAAAGATCACTCCTTAAACGGGGAATGATATTTGCTTGTTGCTTCTCTAACTTCTATTGGAACCAGATAAGGCTTATGCCTCTCTATACATCCACAACACTCTTAATGCAACTTGATGTATGCCTCTACTGAATAACCACTAAGTATAAAGTAATAGTAGTTATAATACTAATTCAAACAATTGCCTTGAGATATTTTTATCATTTGTTACAAAAGACACATTTTCATGGCATTCGGGATAGGGCCAAGAACACTTCAAAAAATTAAGTTTCTATTGAACACTGTGAAACTTCAACAAACAAGTTAACACCATTCCAATTGTAAAGTCAAGTCATCCTTGGATCCACTAGGTCAACAAACCAAGTAAGAATACACCACCCAAATGAAGGCATTCAAATCTAGGATGTCCAATAAAAGGTGATGGAATACAAGGAATTCAAATTTGTGATTGAATCAAAATTTGTGATTCCCCATGAGCAAATGTTGGAGTTCTGCTTTTACTCTTCACCAATCATCCCTATTCACATATGAGAACTTAATAAGAATGCAAACTCCACCAATGCATAAAAACCCACTCATAACTCTTAGCCTTAGTAACAGGGACCTTGCATTTGGGTGTAAATTCCTTCTTCCAAAATTCACTCCCATGACTATCGCTAGCCAAATCCACATGGAAAACGATCAACCTACACCAATTAGAGATTCCTATACCTGCTCCCCTTCTCAAAGACATTCCTAAGGCATTTTGTCATAACTAACCTCCTCTCCAACTCCTCTCCAAGGAGTTCTTAAGATATTACCCATGGCGCTTATCGAACTCTATTGTCTTCATTTATTTGAATGGTAAAAACCTTGTATTGCATATCATCAAATAACAAACAAAAAAAATACAATCCATCATCAATTGAAGATACTAGAAACTCCGCAAATGTTTCTCCCATAATTTGAATTCACCAAATGCCACTTATCAAAATAAAAGACAAATAAACAAACAAACAAACCAAATTCCTCTCAAATGTGTTCAATCAGAAGATTAACGACTTCAGTGACTTTTCTACAGTGTCATTGCCCAGGAAAAACCATAAAGTCTAATCTGTGGATTGATGCACCATTCTCAACTTTCTATTTTCTTATTGAAGGCTCGAACGATCACAGCCTTTCGACCTGCAAATCGACCCTGGAAAAGGATCACCGCCTTGTTTGGTTTCAGAAACTTCACCATCTCTCTCCTCTATCATTACAAACCAAAACCATGGCGAGTCCCTCTCTCCTCTATCATTACAAACCAAAACCATGGCGAGTCCCAAAACCAAGACCTGTGCAAAATGTGACATCCCAAACGACAAAACCAAGGCCAACACGCCCATTTCATATGATAGGGACGCCTTTCATGTCATCCCCCCTTCTCTCTCAAAAGATCAAATTCGTTGTCTTCTTCCGTTTTCTTATCAGAGCGAAGAAAGACTAACCCCTTTTATACCACACTTTCTCTCTCTAAAAAACGACGTGTCCTCATCTAGAAGTGGTTGTTCATGCTATTGGTTATAACTATTAGCTACGCCATGCGACGGTTAAGCCTTCCAACTATCACAATCCCAGGGCCACACCCTTATTCTCTACGAAAATATTCATTCGGAAATATGCATATACGGATATATTGTTATTCAAATGTGAATATTTTCATTTAAACAATAACTATACATTGACTACATGAATATGAATATATTCATTTAAACAATGACAATTTAATTCATATATGCATATGCCTCATGAAAAATATGCATATACAGAAATTTTGAACAATGCCCTAATTTTCCTCACACATGAGCACAATGCAATCTTCGAATGCTCCGTACAAACCTACACACATTTTTTATTATTATTATTATTATTATTATTATTATTATTATTATTATTATATTAATAGAAATATCATTAATATATACGGCAACAAAATAACAAAAAAATTTGTAGCCACTGATATTTAGTGAAAAAAAATTTCAACCTCACTAATAATTTTATTCACAGAGGCTTTTTGATACAAAATTCTACCATATGTAATCTAAATTATCTATCATTCCATATCACTTTGTAATTCCAAGCAATCTCTTAAACAAAGATATACATGCTAATCCTTTAAACAATACGTGCTTATCAAAATGCATGTAACTATACAGTCCTTTAAGCAACATGTGCTTATCAATCGTTTAAATAATATGTGACATTAAGTGACAATTAGTGGTATTCACTTCAATAATACCAATAAAAGTTTATGGTTTTGAAAACATGTGAATAAGATAAAGCATATGCCTCACCATTAAAGATATACTTGACTATATGTGAATCCAGTACAAGAAAAGTGTGAGCTGTATAAGATAAAACAATGTAGAAGATAGAACTTTGGATGTTTTGATACCATTGTTGGCAAAATCGATGGAGCGTACGATATCAACTGGAGATTAAAGAAAAGTGTCGTGAGGCTGGTGATAGCAGAGCCCGGATTTTTATCCCTTCGCCTTTAGAGAGATGTACACCTATTCATTGTTGTATACATCCTTTCTCTGGCTTCCCATTTTATAGGGAGAAGAAGAGCTATCCATTACATTTTTCAACTGGTCTCTGAGAAAACCAAAGTTCCCTGATCTCATGGATACACATCCAACGTTCATATGGACGTTGGTTAATGTGAACGTTGGATAGGATTCTTCCCGCAATTGCAAGCTTTCCAGCCCACAATTGTAGATAAAGTTAAGCAAGGCCTTATGGCCATAGGTGCTAATATTAATTAAAAAATTAGGATTTGGATCAAGAA